ACAATGTCATCATGAAATTTGTTGGCAAATGGATGGAACTAGAAAAAAAAAATCATGCTGAGTCAGGTAACCCAGACCCAGAAAAGACAAACCCAGTATGTACTCACTCATAAGTGAGTATTAGACGTAAAGCAAAGGACAACCAGGCTACAATCCACAGCCCCAAAGAAGCTAGGTAAAGAGGAGGACCTAAGAGGAACACACATGGATCACCTCAGGGAGGGGAAAGGGTTAAGATCTCCTGGGTAAACTGGGAGTGGGGAATAGAGAGGAGAGGATGGGAGGTGAGAATATGAGGGCTCGAGATGGCCGAGTTGGGGGAGAGATGGGGAGGGAGAGCAATGAAAGAGATATCTTGACAGAGTGCACCATTAAGGGGATGGGGAGAAATCTGCAGCTAGGGAAGACCCCAGGAACTCACAAGATCGTCCCCAGCTAAAACTCATAGCAATGGTGGAGAGGGTGCTTGAACTAGCCTTCCCCTGCACTCAGATTGGTGTCTACCCTAATTGTCATCATAGAACCTACATCCAGTGACTGATGGAAGCAGATGCAGAGACCCACAGCCAAGCACTTGGCCAAGATCCTGGAGTCCAGTTGAAGAAAGGGAGGAGGGATTACAGGAGCAAGGGGAGTCAGGATCACGATGGGAAAACCACAGAGACAGCTGACCCAAGCTCGTGGACTCTGGACTGACAGCTGGGGAGCCTGCATGGGACCGCACTAGGCCCTCTGAATGTGGGTGAAAGTTGTGTGGCTTGATGTGTTTGTGAGTCCCCTGGCAATGGGACCAGAACTTATCCCAGGTACACGAACTGGCTTTTTAGAACCCATTCCCTATGGTGCGATGCCTTACTCAGCCTTGATGTGGGGAGAGGGGCTTGGTATGCCAGCCTGTGTTGACTATCCAAGGGAGGCCTTACTCTCTATGAGGAGAGGATGGGGGAGGGGAGCGGGAGAAGGGGAGGGAGGGGGTAACAGGGGTTGGTATGTAAAAGGAAAGAAAAAATTTTTTTCTTCTTTTTTTTAATTAAGAAATTTTTAAATTCATTTTACATACCAATCACAGACCCTCCTCTTCCCTCCTCCTGTCCCTCCAGCCTCCCCCCTCCCCAATCCACCCCCATTCCCTCCTACTAGAAGGTAAGTCCTCCCATGGGGAGTCAGCAGAGCCTGGTCCATTCAGTAGAGGCAGATCCAAGCTCCTCCCCCTGCCTCAAGGCTGTGCAAGGTATCCCACCATGGGTAGTGGGCTCCAAAAAGCCAGCTCATGCACCAGGGATGGATCCTGATCCTACTGCCAGGAGGGCCCCTTAAGCAGATTAAGCTACACAACTGTCTCGTTTATGTAGAGGACCTAGTCCAGTCCTGTGGGGAGGCTCCACAGGTATTGGTCTATATTTCATGAGTTCCTACTAGTTTGGTTTGGTTGTCTCTGTAAGTTTCTCCATCATGATCCTGATGCCCTTGCTCATAGAATCCCTCTTCTTTCTCTTCAACTGGACTCCTGGAGTTCAGCCTGGTGCTTGGCTGTGGATCTCTGCATCTGCTTCCATCAGTTACTGGATGGAAGCTCTATGATGACAGTTAGGGTATTCACCGATCTGATTACCAGGGTAAATAAAAAAAATTATAAAAAAAAAATAAGCCTCTGTGTGTAGTTTATTTGGGAGCTGGGTGGCAGGCCCCCCAAAAGAGCAAAAACAACCACCCCCACCAGTGGAATGAGAATAGATGAGGACTTGCACTGTGGTCGGCTCCTAGAAGACCAACTTCATGGGAAGATAAAGTCTAAGTGTGGAATTCCCATTAGTTATTTTATACTTTAGACAACTTGCACACAAAGTAACTTTACTTATTCACATACACTAAGTACATGAAGGCTTTAGCAAAACTTATTAGTACTGTCCACAAGTTCTTTCTGAATAAAGTGGACCACCCACAGGGAAAGTGACCAATCCCAGCTTGACAGGAAAGAACGCTTGAGTGTTCTATCTGCCAACTTTTAAATATTAAAAACTGGGGGGACTGGGGAGATGTCTCGGTAGTTATTTTTATTTTTATTTTATATGTTTGAGTGTTTGCCTGCATGTATGTTTATGTACGCAATGAGGTCAGAAGAGGGCGTCATATGCCCCAGGTAACAGACAAATCATATGAGTGCTGGGAACTGAACCTGGGTCCTCTGCAAGAGCAGCCACTGCTCTTTACCACTGGGCCATCTCTCCAGCCCCTAACCTGCTCTTCATAAAAGTCATTCATTCTTCGGCCAAATCGTTAGAAAATCCTAAGTGGCCCCGGACAAAGTACACAATATTGTCTGCAGCTTTTACCAAAGATTGACTGAAAGGATCGTCTCATGAAGATTGCTTCTGCATCTCAATGAAGGGACTCTTAAAAACCGAACCTTGCATGAGTCACGTCACCTATGTGGAAATTAAATGCCAGTGTTCATGCACTTCTTTATTTACTTGTTCTCTGTTCCTTGAAAAGCAATGAGTCCCTTTGCTACAAAGTGGGGCCATAATGGGAAGGAGGACACAGGTGCTGTCCACAAATAATTCATAACGTGAGCGGGAAATGGGCAAGTAAATCGGCAATTAGATGGTAATGGGCTGCACCATGTACTGTGCGAGTGCTTTGGAAGAGCACCTGACCCTGACTGCAGGCCCAGGCTGCACTGCAGGGAAACAGGATAAATGACAGCGACTGGAAATCCATGAGGAGAACCAGAGAAAGAGGAAGCCGGGACGGGGAACAATGCTTACGGGAACCATAGTCACAGAGAAGAGGGAACAAGTGTTTCTGGGAAATTGCAACACGTTCAACATGGATTCATCAGGATGGGAATGCAGACAGACGAGGCTAGAAGGTCCAAAGGACACACGCCAAGTCACGAAGGGCCTGAGAACCTCGACAAGTGGTGGGCTTTCCACTCTGGTCACGGGACACGGAGAAATCAAGTCAGCACGGAGCAGGACGCTTCCTCTCCACTGGCTGCGGGGTTCTCAGAAAGGAAGAAGCCGTCCCTTCAAGCACTCTCACTTCCTGTCTCAGCACGGTTTCTCCCTCATGCCTGTGCTCCAGTCCTGATGCCACCCTCCATGTGATGCCACCCTCCATGTGATGCCACCCTCCATGTGATGCCACCCGAAGGCTGCCACCAAGGCTGAGCAGATGTCGGCCAAGCTTCCGGACTTCTGAAACGGTGACCTAGAGAAGCCTCTTTGTGTTAGAAGTTACCCAGGCCCAAGTGTTTTGTAACAGTGACATGCAAAGGCCTGAGGCAGAAGCGTTCCAAACCCAGGTATTATAAAACAGGAATGAAAGACCCTGGTCCTTCAGACACTTTACACACTTTATACAATACTGCCCGGCATACCGTGAACATAAATGTCTGTGGTTGGTACCTAGTTAATGCCCTCCTGAACACTGAATGGTAAAGACTGCAGCAATAATAGAAAAGATTAACTGCTCAATTGATTTACCCATAAAAAATCAAATTAAAAATCTTTCCCCATAGAGTTCAGGCAGGTGCTTCATTTAAGACGATTGATTTTTTTTTTTAGCTATTATTTAAAACCTATAAATTCTACACAAATACTATTTAATTGCCTAAGTCTAAGATCTACTTTCTTCTTTCATCAAATATGATTTATTAAGCACTGGATATTTAAATATATTAAATTTAAAAGTTTAATGACTTATTTTTTTTCTGAAATTAAAATCTATAAGCATTCTTTTCCATCTAAAATGACAGTCTAAACTAGTTGGCAGTCTAGAATCAAGCATTAATTCAGGGAGATTCTTACCAAGTACGCTGACCTGAATTTTACATTACTCCTTCAAAGGATAAGCTACTCTTTACTATGAGTTCTGTTCATATTTCTCAAATGTAATGTTTCCTTTTCTATTGAAGGAACAACCACCATCTAAAGAGTCTCCATGCCGGAACAGGGCTCAGCACTGCAGACCATTTCTGCCTGTGTGGAAAGAAAATGTTTAACACAGTTCTCTCTGAACCCAGGGGCTCCACATCCGTGGACTCCGCCCACCACAGATGAAAAAATATTTGTTGAGTTTTATTCTTTTCATCATCCTGTAAAGAACACAATATACAACCTATTTCTAGCAAGGCATCGTGGCACACACTTGCGATCTTTCATCACTCTGGAGGCAGAGGGAGGAGGGGTTCTAGGCCCGCTGAGGCCACACAATCAGATCCTCACCTTGAAAGAGGAATTTCCATAGCGTTTATGTTGTAATATGTATTAGAAATGATCGGGAATGGATTTTTTTTATTTTATAATTTAATTTAATTCTACATATCAGCCACGGATTCCCTTGTTCTCCCCCCTCCCGGCCCTCCGCCTTCCCCCCAGCCTACCCCCCATTCCCATCTCCTCCAGGGCAAAGACTCCCCTGAGGATTGAGTTCAATCTGGTAGACTCAGTCCAGGCAGGTCCAGTCCCCTCCTCCCAGGCTGAGCCAAGTGTCCCTGCATAGGCCCCAGGTTTCAAACAGCCAACTCATGCAGTCAGCACAGGACCCGGTCCCACTGCCTGGATGCCTCCCAAACAGATCAAGCTAATCAACTGTCTCACTTATCCAGAGGGCCTGATCCAGTTGGGGGTTTCTCAGCTACTGGTTCATAGTTCATGTGTTTCCATTCGTTTGGCTATTTGTCCCTGGGCTTTATCCAACCTTGGTCTCAACAATTCTTGCTCAAACCCTCCTCTTTCTCAGCCAATTGGACTCCTGGAGCTCCATTTTTTTTTTTTTTAAGTTTTTTTTTTTTTTTTTTTTCCAGAGCTGAGGACTGAACCCAGGGCCTTGGGCTTGCTAGGCAAGCGCTCTACCACTGAGCTAAATCCCCAACCCCTCGGGAATGGACTTAAAGTTGGCAGGAGTGTGAGCCCAGGACACACGCCAATGTCACATTTTATCTAAAGGCCTTGAGCACCTGCAAGGGGTTTCTGGACAGGAAATGGCTCACTCACCCGCCTCCTCCTGTGACGTAGCTGTAACCACCTGTGCCCAGGCCATAGCCATAGCGCTCACCCAGAAACACCGCATCCCTGGAGTCGTAGCAGCTAAGCAAATGTCGGAGCCTGGAGATGCTGAGGAGCAAAGAGAGGACTTATTGAACTCTAATGTGGCTTCAGAATGGGGCGTTTAGTGGTGGAATTCAAGTGTGGAATAAATGGATTTTAAAAAATACACACATACCCCAAATATGAACACTCTACATTAGAAGAGAAGGCGAGACATCAGAGGTGCCCCTCATCCAGTTTGAACTCAGCCCTGCCAGGCACAGGGGCTTCCCTCGGGGCAGCAGGGTGGCGGGGAATGACTAAAGGTAGTCCATTGCAGTAAATCTCCTCTGCCAGGCTGTTTCCAAGGGAGTGTCACTCAAACCCCACCTCTTCTCAAACGGACAAGGTTGTTTTAACTCTTGATGGCCAAAAAAGAGCTTCCGAAGGGCACGCGGGCTTGGGGGTTTCCTGTCGGGCTGGGGCCAGCAGGTGGGGCCAGCTGGGCTAGCCAGGTTCCCCCTACAAACCCTCGGAGTGTGCTGCCTTTCCTCAACAAGGCTTCCCAGGGAATGAGCTACGGTCTACATGTGCATCCCTTGAATACTTGGGGGCCCACCTGTCCTTGCACAATGTCGACAATGGCAGCAGCTTACAGAGGACAGAGAGAATGCCACAAGCTGTAAACACAGCTGCAGTGAGGTGAATAAACCAGATCGTGGGAAAATAAGACAGAAAACTCACTTTTAAAAGCCAACCAGCAGGCTGATGTAACAAAGGCAAGGGCTCCCCTGTTTTTAAGCATTAGACCATTTTGAGCTGGGTACGGTGGGTCACGCTTTTAATCCCAGCAGCTGTGAGGTAGGGATAGGCAGACCTCTGAGAGTTCAAGGCCAGCCTGGTCTACACAATGAGTTCTAGGTTAGCTAGAGAAGAAAGATAGAAAGGAAGAGAGGGGGAGGGAGGGAGGGAGAGGGAGGGAGAGAGGGGAATTGAAGGAGGGAGAGAGGGAGGCAGGGAGGGAGGGAGGAAAAGAGAAGGGGGAGAGTGGGGGGAGGGAGAGAAAAGAAAACCAATGATAACATTAGAAATGCCTTCCTGAGGCCTCCTCTACTCTAGAGAGTTCCAGGTCATCCACCACCAAGTCTTAACTTTCCCTTATAACACTGGCCAGTGATCCTTAAAACTAGTTTTTGCATAGCCCATAACTTTGGGTTAAAATGTTAAAGGGCTAAACTTCAAGGTGCCTCTGAGACCCTGATCCATGAGCTCAAGGGCTCTCAGGGGGGTAGCACAGGCTCCGAACTGCATCAGAACACTGCCAAGTGAATACGGGAGGAGCAGGTGTCCCAGACACTCACTGTCCCCCCACTTGAGAAGAGTCGCCGTGAACGGGAAGAAAAAGCCAAACATACAAGAAGAATCCATCCATCACCCTTTCTAGACACTACATAGAAGGATAGATAGATAGATAGATAGATAGATAGATAGATAGATAGATAGATAGATAGATAGATAGATAGATAGATAGATGATAGATGATGATGATAGATGATAGATGATAGATGATGGCTGATGACAGATGATGATGACAGACAGATAGATAAACAGACAGACAGACAGACAGTAAAGCTGTGAGTGGGGAAAGCAACTTTTACTGTAGAAGGACGAGACAAAGGCAGCCGCAAACCCTCCACACAAGTGTGCGCTCCAGGGGCTTACAAGTTTACAGGCAGGTTTAGAACATCTGGAGACCACAGCCTTTGCCGATGTTGGCACTTTCTGAGTGAGCATAAAACATGTCTGTTTTTTGGCATGAAGGTTATACATTCAAAGCGCACCAATTTGGAATCTGGCTTCAAGAAGCCGTCTGAGAAATTAATCTGTATGGGGAGGCTGACTGTATTTGCTGATGGAGGATCCACACTTGGGGATTTCTAAGGGTTCAGTCTGTAAAAGGCCAAAATCCCCCCAAACTTTCTAGGGAAAAACAGGAATTGCTTGAGCTTAAAAAGACAGGGGGGCCTGGAAAGGTGGATCAACACTGAGCACCGGCTGCTCTTGCAGAGGACCTGGGTTCGGTTCCCAGAACCCACACGGCAACTCCCAAGCACTTAACTCCAGTTCCAGAGGATTCAGCGCCCTCTTCTGACTTCTACAGGCACTGCATGTGTGTGGTACACATACATACATGCAGGCAAAACACTCATAGACATGAAATAAAACATTTTTAAAAATTGTAAAAATTTAAAAAGAGAGAATTATTTTCTCTTCTTCCTACATATTGTGAAATTATCAATTCCACCTACAACATTCATATTTTAAGGTTGAAGTGATTTAAGATTCCTCTGGGCTTCTTCACCATACAGCTTCACGGTTCAGAGACCACAAATGGAGTCTGATCATTATCACCCACTTCACATTCACTCGAGAGTAGGAACGCGGATGAAGCACATAGATTTCAACTCCATCTATGGGGATTTGGCCCAGGAAAAGCATTTCACTTAGCAATCTGTTCCCATTTCAGGCACTTCTGAGTCTCAGCCATGTAGGAAAACAGCACGTCCGTGCTCTCCAGCAAGTCCCGCCCGTGCTGGATGAGTAGAGCCTGGCAGTGCAGAGGATTTCACCGGCAGAACACCAACCTTTCAACGCCAGAGGATGCTCCATTCTGGCCTATTATGGAGCTGCATTTTACAATTACAGAAAAGTTACAAAAAACAGGAGGAAAGCCCCAAGGACCCTTTCCCCAGATTTACCAATTATTTCCATTTACTCTAGGGGCTCATTTACAGGCTGTCCTCTGAGTACATAAAAAACCAGCACACAAGCACGTACTATGGACTTTTTTCCCTCTCCTGAAAGTGCATACATTAGACCCTTCCCCAACCATCCCACTGTATGCTTCCTAAGGGCAGAAAAAGTCCTCATCTTGAGGACATTTAACATCGACATGATACGTTTCTTTGAAAAAATCAGTCACTCTGCTCCTACATGTTTCACCAAGAGAAATGAGAGCAAGACTACCCTGAGACTTCTATGTGAAAATACACAGTGGGGGCCTGAGAGATGGCTCAGCAGTTAAAGGCACTGGCTGCTCTTGCAGAGGACCAGGGTTCAAGTCCCAGCACCCACATGGTGGTTCACAAACATCTGTAACTCCAGTTCCAGGGGATCTGACGCCCTCTTCTGGCCTCCTGGGCACTGCATGCATACGGTATACATACATAGATGTAGGCAAAACACTCAAACATATAAAATTAGATAAATCTTTTTTTTTTTTTTTTTTTTTTTTTTTTTGGTTTTTCGAGACAGGGTTTCCCTGTGTAGCTTTGCGCCTTTCCTGGAACTCACTTGGTAGCCCAGGCTGGCCTTGAACTCACAGAGATCCGCCTGGCTCTGCCTCCCGAGTGCTGGGATTAAAGGCGTGCGCCACCACCGCCCAGCTAGATAAATCTTTTAAAAAATAAAATATATAGTAGCTTTAATTATATCACTTGAAATCAACACACTGAAGCAATGTATCTAAGCTAACTACTAATTCTAATTTTTATGAATTGATACAATAATGTCATTTATAGCACTTCCCTCCGACCTTGCGTTTTTCTTTGGCTAGTAATTATTGTCATATCATTGAATGTCTATATTTTTCTTCTGCAGTGTCTAATTTGCTGTTAACCCTGCTCAAAAAGGCTTTTAAAAATCCTTCATAATAGTTTTCATGTCTATAAGATTATCTCAGACTTAGAGTACACCTTCCACGCATCCCCTTTGAAATATGAAATAGTTGTGATGATTATTTAATAAGAATATAATAACTAATGCTAACAGTATCAATTCTGGGAGTGTGTCACTGGGTTAGGGTACCTCAGTGTGCCCAGTGGGAACAGGGACTGCCCAGCCCTGCATGAGTTCGGTGGGTTCTGTCCCAGCATCTAGAAGCTTCCTCACGCAGACATTCTACTCTACTGAACACTTGAGGAGGGCCCTCTGCAGATGCCCAGGGTTGTCTTTTTGGACATCTGTCTCTTTTCTAGTTCTGTGTCCTGCAAACTCTAACAGTCTTGGTCTCCTGAGACTCTCAGCTCCGTCTCTTTAACATAAACTGTGTGTAGGTTCCAGCTGGTGCCTCCTCCCCGCTAACGATGGCTGAGCACGGCCAGAAGACAGTCAGTGGGGCAGTGACTTGCTTCTCATCACCAGATGTTCAGTATCTTAAAACCATCCCGTCCCTGCTGCCCCACCATCGCCGGAAGCAGCCATGCCTATCACAGCAGTCAGAGCCAGTCCCCAGCGGAGAAGGGCTCTCACCTGATTAGTGTGTCGTCATCCACAATGACCAGCCATGCTATTTTGTCATGGCTGTGATTCAGAAATCTTTCCAAAATGGCAAACGTCTTTCCACAATGACCTAGGAAAGGTAAGGAGAAAACTGTAAATGTATTATTTGCTCTACATGTATAGCATACATTTATTATTTATTTAGTTTGAATTTTAAAGTGATAGACGAGCCTGAGTGCTGATATGCACAATAATGACTTGGAACGTCCCTAGAAATTAGCCTTCCCTAATTCTCATGTAAGCTGAATTAAGCCTTTTCCCCCCTAAGTGGCTTCTGGCCGTGGTGTTTATCACAGCAATGGAAACTCTTAGTAAGATAATGCCTATAATCCTAGGACTCGGAAGGCAGATGCAGGAGGCTCACGAACTCAAGGCCAGCACACCCTGGGCTACATGAGACTCTGTCTCAAAACCAAACGAAACAAAAATGATTTTCACTAGAAAGCTCTCCCATCTGGAAGGAAATCCTGGTAGACCCAGAACCACTTTCTAGTCAAATATTAATGCCTATAATATTGCTAACTGAATACTTGAGCCCTACAGAATGCGCCAAGCGCTCAGAGATTCAAAGTATGAACTAGACCATAGACTTGGGAGGACATTGGCATTGAGTGAGAAGCTGACAAATTAACTTGGCACCGCCATTCTAGCCACGATGAACTGTGGAGCTGGAAACCACTCCCGGTCAATCATATTGTGACTGCCACATGCTCAATGCTAGGGTACAGAACACCCTACCAACAATGCTGAGCCTCTCCGTCTGTACTAAAAGTCCCGTGTGAGAGCCAGCATACATCCACAGGTAAAGATGCTTAGTGGAAACAGAGAGAAACTAACATAAGAAATCCTAGTACTGAGATCGCAGTTTATGCTGACTTGCTGAATTTACACAGTACGGGGATAGTAAATCAAAGGGGGTAGTGAGAATTCAGGACCCACCTCTGTCCGTATTGGGAATTCCCAGGTCCACCGTGGGAATGGGACTTTCTGCGAAGTCACTGTAGTATTCAATAAGGCTTGCCTGTGCCGCCCATGTCTTCTTTACGATGGGGACTGAAAACACAACAGAGGGGACTGTCACAGGCACAACGCAAAGAAGTGAAATTTTAAATGGCAGCGTGACCCCACAGAGAAGCAACACTCACTCTTTCTTAGTGTCCCAAGGCTTAGTGTTTATTCTGCACTGCAGGGAATGCCAGGGTTCCCTGCTGATGACCATGGAACTGACCACTCTACCTGAAGTACTGTGGACGGCCCCGTGTGCACACATCCCACTTCACCTCCAGATAATAAAATGCTGTCTGATAAAACTGCTTTGTTTAGATGAACTGTGAATCATTTCTCTTTTTCCAACAGGTTATTTCATTTAACTGGCCCATAAATGGATTCTTAAAATATTTCTGGAAGCTAGAAATGTGGATCAGTTAAGAGCACTGGCTGCTCTTATAGAGGACCCGGGTTCAGGTCCCAGCACCAACATGGTGGCTCATAATTGTCTGTAGCTCTAGTTACAGGAGATCTGATGGCCTCTTTTTGCCTCCTTGGGCACCAGGTACCCATGTGGGGTACATACATCCATGAAGGCAAAACACTCACATACATAAAATAAAATAAATGTAAAATGTATTTTGTGTGTATGTGTGTATAGGCATGTGTATGAGATATGTGTGCATGCTTGTGTGAGTGTGTGCATCTGCCAGCACAGAGGTAAGTGGAAGGCTTGGGGTGCCCTCATCCATTTTTTCTTATATTTTCTGAGGCAGTGCAGCTAGAGTTTTCCTGCCTGGCCCACAGTCAGGACAAATCTCTCTCACCTGCCAGTCCCACAGCCACTCAGACCCGACCAAGTAAACACAGAGACTTACATTGCTTACAAACTGTATGGCCGTGGCAGGCTTCTTGCTAACTGTTCTTATATCTTAAATTAATCCATTTCTATAAATCTATACCTTGCCATGTGGCTCATGGCTTACCGGCATCTTCACATGCTGTTTCTCATCGTGGCGGCTGGCAGTGTCTCTCTGACTCAGCCTTCCACTTCCCAGCTTTATTCTCCTCCTTGTCCCGCCTATACTTCCTGCCTGGCCACTGGCCAATCAGTGATTTATTTATTGACCAATCAGCAACACATTTGCCATACAGAACATCCCACAGCAAGGCAGGGTCTCTCACTGAGCCTAGAGCTCATGTTATTCAGCTAGGCCACATGTTCAAACACATGAGCCTTATGGGAGACATTGTGCATCCAAACTTTCCTCTATAGAATAAAATCATACTGAATCAAAGAAGTTTGCCATTGAGTTATTTTAAATTGGAGCAGAGTAAAAATTTATGATTCAAAAGTCATTATTCAAAAAAGAAGAAGAAAAAATCTCAATAGCGCAGGTAGTATAAATCTTTCTGGAGTCAGTGGAAGACATATCTCACTGGCAGGGACAGCAGAATAACCCACTTTACCCATGAATTAACCTGCAAAATTGCCTCTTGTGACAGGTGACATTTGAACATTTTATAAACGTTCAATCCATTAAATGTGAACGTGCCGCACAGTCAAGAGTGAAGGGCTCTTCTGATTCTGAGGAATTCACTATTATCAACTGGCCAATGTCCCCTTTTCTCCAGGTGCAAGCCAGTGGCCACAAAGGGGAACTCCTGGAGTGTCTTTCTTCGCCAGAGAGTGTTAAAGACACACAAGTGTGTCAATTCCTTGTTTTTTAAAGACTTCAGTGGGCCTAAGCTGGAAATCCATCCTTCCCGGCTGATCAAAGGCAACACTTGGAACACAGTCAGCCATTCCACAGCCAGGTCGGGTCCAGCAACCCGTGACTCCCCTCAGCTGATTCACACTTCATCCCCTTGTCTGCTTGGCCTCCCATTGGGGGGGCATTTTACCGCAAGCCTCGCCTTGTCAGGAAGCTGGTTGTGTTACAGTACCTGCGGCCTCCTTCATCAGAGACGGCAGCCACAACACTGCCTAATAAAAGCCGCTCAGATTTGCCTCCCCTGGACCAGATCATGGCAGGAAAGACAGCAGATGGGATTTTTTCTTTTCTTTTTCTTAATCTGGAAGCAACAGTGTCTGTTTTTAAGAGCTGGGGAAAGCTGTGAAAAAGACCTAATGGCTGAGGAAATCACACTTAACCTTCTTAATTAGAGGGAGCCCACAGGAGACCATGTCACACCCCACCTAACGTGGTGAACAAGAACTGCCTACTCCAGGAATGTGAGACATGCGCGTGCGTGCGTGCACCACAGACCGATGCAGAGAAAATGGAAGGGTTTCTGACAGCTTACATTGCAAAGTGAAGACCCCGTAACCCAAGAGGAAGTCATTGAGATGCATATTAAAAATCAGGGATCTTTTCCCTACTCGCATGCTTCAAATGGTGTCAACACTGATTACTCCTTAGAGCCAAAAAAAAAAAAAAAAAAAAAAGTAAAATACTTTTTGCTATGTTCCGAGAACTTGGTATTCTATTTCTGCAGAATCCAGGCAAATTCAGTAGCAGTGCTCTTTCGTGGTTAGGGATACAAGTAAAATCGTTAAGATATTTGAACTTGGTCTTGTTATCAGTTCATCGTGATGATATAAAAATATGAATTCCATGTACATTAACCCTTGTCATTCTCTCCCTCATCCTCTTCCACGGAGGTGACGGGAGGTCATGAAGCAGGTGGGCTTGCAAGGAACAGCATGGCCCACTCTCAATTTTTCAAAAATATGGTTTCTTATCTGTTTTATATTTTTTCCTCCCCTTCACTGCCATTTGGCCTTTGTTCCTTCAAGGATTTCTGCCCCAGAGAACAGGAAAAGAGGAACACCCGTCCCTATCCCTGTGTCTTCTGCTTGGACAGTAATATGCTTTGACGGGGCCCACCCAGTACGTGCTGCGGGTCACGTGTGGGCTTCAATGCCTTGCTGTCCTTCCTCACTGCCACTGCAAAGGCGAGGCCTGCTTGCACAGCTTCTGTCCAACCCCTAGCTGGCCTTGAGCATAGCCAGGCATCGACATGAATATCGAAGACAATTTATCAGGTGAGGTTTGTAATACATTGCAAGGAGTACAGTCAGGCTAGAGCAAAACGCCCAAGTCCTCCTACCTCCTGTTCTCCACGGTGGGAGAGCAGCATTGGCGGTCCACTAAGGGAACGCCGTCACCTCCGAGCCAGAAGAACGGAGTGTACCTGGGGCTGGCGAGACAGCTCAGTGGTTTACAGAACTTGCCGCTCTTGGCTGTATTCCATTCCCAGCACCCACAGGGCGGCTCACAACCATCCTGACTCCAGTTCCAGGGAACCTGATGCCCTCTTCTGACCTCCACAGGCACCGAGCATAAAATCAATCAATCAATCAATCACAGAATCTACCTCTGGATGGAGACATGCCATTGTCTCCTCCAACTGGGCAGGTAAAGACACACCCCTCAGGAAGACAGGTTTACCTTCAGCCTTGCTAAAGAGGTGGGAGGAATAAGTATCCCTTTAATAAGATAGCGAGCGTCCTCTTCCTTCCCAGAATTCCTGCCCCCGCACAGTCATTACAGGCCTCCCTGGGAGCTTCTGCTGGGTCTGCCCACCTTCAGGAAAGTGTAACTTCTCTTTCTACTGTTCTCCTTTCTCCAGATGCTGGCTGGAGCCCAAGCGTGCTTTCGCTGGTACTCTGGATTTCTCACGCTTTTCCTAAAGCTCCCTCCCTGGCATGGCTCCTTCTCCATCATGTGGCTGGCCTCTATGCCCACCCAACTCAAATGCCATGGCCTCTTCGCTATCTCCCACATCCGGGCAGCTACCAAGACTTACAGCTTGCCTGCCTTGCAAGTTTCCTTTTAAACATTAATTAAATTGTCTTGGGGCTGTGCTTATGTCTGTTCTTAAATTCTTCGGTTAATGAGACTAAGAACCCCAAGAGGGGACCCTGGTTTCCCTGGTAACATGTGATGACTGTCGCAAGACTCCCCCACATTTCTGGTAATAAGAGGCTGTGGGATGTAGATCACCTGTCTCTACAAAATCAAGGGAATCACAGTTACTGTCATAGCATAAGGAACTGTTAACATAAGATCAGATTAGTGAATGGCTCCAATACACACACACACACACACACACACACACACAAAGGGGGGGGGAGGAGGAGGAGGAGAAGAAATAATTATGGCATTGTCTGTCACTGATAGGATAACTGGTCAGTCTGTGAGCCAACTGCTGGCTAGATTAGACTTTTTAACAAATTATTTTTATTATCTTTAAATTATATGCGTGCATGTATACTTGCATGTGGGTAGGTGTACATGAGTGCCAGAGGTGTCAAATCCCCTGTGAGCTGACTGACATGGGTGCTGGGAACAAATGGAGGTCCTCTGGGAGAGCAGTACATGCTTTTGACTTCTGAGCCACCTCTCCAGCCCTGGACTGTGTTTAAAGGAGATGTGCAGAGCCCAGTGACCAGGCAGGCTTTGCTTCCATGCAGCAAAGGGAGGAACCAAGCTCGCTACAAAGCTGTCTTCACAAATCATGGCATGGAAGTTTAAAGACAGAAACCCACATGAGAAACCTTCACTCTTAGGTCTTGTGTCTCAGTCACCACAGATCCAGAAATGAATTTTTAAGATTTTTATTTTTATTTTTATTTTTTTGGAGCTGAAGACCAAACTCAGGGCCTTGCGCTTGCTAGGCAAGTGATCTACCACTGAGCTAAATCCCCAACCCTAAGATTTTTTATAATTTTAAAAAATGTTTAAACTCTAAATCCAAGTATAAAAGCATTTCATAGATATCTGCAAAAAAATGATCTCAATCTTAAAGAAATAAGAAAATAAATTATTCAAAATTCATAACTCAAAATGAACAAGCATACACTTCTGTAGATTATGAAAAATACAACAGGCGGGACCATTAATTATTTTCTGTTTCATTATCATCTGAAAAAAAGCTTTAAAGCAAAAATTACAGTGTCATCTCTTACTATCCACATTATTTTTAACATCAATATTGCAAAAATAATCACTATTCTGAGAGCGGCTTCAGGATCAACCAAATCAATACAACTATTTTTCCAGAAAAACAAAATTTTAAAAAATCTAGTGCATTTATCTATCACCTTTTCTCCTTTTTTTTTTTTTTTTTTTTTTTTTTTTTTTTGGTTTTTCGAGACAGGGTTTCTCTGTATAGCTTTGCGCCTTTCCTGGAACTCACTTGGTAGCCCAGGCTGGTCTCGAACTCACAGAGATCCACCTGGCTCTGCCTCCCGAGTGCTGGGATTAAAGGCGTGCACCACCACTGCCCGGCCCTTTTCTCCATTTTTTAAAAAGATTTATTTTTAGTGTGTGTGTATGAGTGTTTGCCTACATGTATGTCTGTGCATCATGTGTGTGCAGTGCCCATGGAGGCCAGAAGAGGGCGCTAGATCCCCTGGAACTGGAGTTACAGATGGTTGTGAGCTGCCATGTGGGTGCTGAAAACTGAACCTGGGTCCTCTGGAAGAGCAGCCAGTGCTCTTAACCATTCCAGCATCTCAAAGATATTTTTCAAAATCACCCTACAGAGCCCTTCAAAATACTAAATTTAGGTTAAATTTATGATAAATAAAAGTCTTATTTCAACTCCTTTATTGATTTTTAACAGTATGTAAGCCTCCTTGCATAATAAATACATATATTTACTCAACCAGAGTTAACAGATTTGGGATTTGACATGACAAATTTAGGCAAGTCTAAAGATATGATTAATGCACTTTTACTGGTTTTTAATTGGTGATGATGTCATAGGTCACACTATAAGTCCAAATTAGGGCACTCTTTCATTTAAAAACATCTTTTCCCTTAAAATATAACCTATGTGGATTGCATTATTGCATAAAATATACACAAATTTCCCAGCACTCTAATCCCATGACCATGACAGCTGCATTAGGAAGCTTCCTATATATACACAACACCCTGGGCAATCAAATCACTCTTCATAAAATGTACTAAAATTAGAACATGCAAAAGAATGTTGGATTCTGGGCATCAGAAAGTGTTGATTCAAATGAAACATAAAAAGAGGAATTGTGCCAATTATATTTGGGATGGGTCTTTTCATTTAACATTGTCCCTATAACTAGCAAAACTCTATAATGAAACAGCAGAAATGAAGAAAACAACATTTATCTGCACACCAGGGTTTCCGTACATCAGGCCACAGTTTCTAAAGTCACTTTTATTTTTCTCTTTTCCAATACAGATACTCAATGAGCAAATCCGTGGACCTCCATTAAAAAGTACCAATGTGAGCTGGGTGGTGGTGGCACACGCCTTTAATCCCAGCACTCGGGAGGCAGAGCCAAGTGGATCTCTGTGAGTTCGAGGCCAGCCTGGTCTACAGAGTGAGTTCCAGGAAAGGTGCAAAGCTACACAGAGAAACCCTGTCTCGAAAAAAAAGTACCAATGTGTACATGTAAAATAAATATAAGAGGAGATTTTCTTGTGGGGACTGTATTACCTTGGAAGCCCCTCTGGTAGTCTCCACACGGTTCAGACACTGAGCCTGCACACAGTGGGACCCTTTACAGAACAGACTATCACCCACACACCAGCTCCAAGGCTGCCAGAGCTGGGTTTCCCACTGTCAATTTAAGGTGCTGACCTCAACAATATTAGAAGAGCTGTAACCACTCACACTTCAGTACAAAATTGCCTCTCCTAAGTAATCTCTCAGGGATTGGAGCGGCCCAGCAAGGAACCTGATTAAACAACCACTTTCCCAGGGGGCAGTGGTAGTACATGCCTTTAATCCCAGCACTCGGGAGGCAGAGGCCAGCCTGGTCTACAAAGCAAGTTCCAGGGCAGGCACCAAAACTACATAGAGAAACCCTGTCTTGAAAAACAAAAACAACAACAACAAAAAAAAACAAAACAAAACAAAAAACCAAACACTTTCCCTTCGGCATCCACTAGCCTGATCTCCCATCTTGAATTTACACATGGCTTGCACTGTTTCAAAGACATTTTGGATCTTGAAAGTTCAAGGAAAATGAATAGCCCCAAACCTACTTCTGTCGCCGTGAAATTTCTTGCATGTTTTCACTGCAACAAAAACCTCCTCCTTTTTCACTGGCGTTCCCTAAAAGGGGGAAGAAAGAAAGGAAATAAATCACACACATTCGTGGTCAGCATTACCTAGACTTCACGCCATGGTAGGTCTTACATCTCTAGCTAAACTTCATCCATGTCATAGCTATCTATTCTATCTATGGTAGTTTTAGGAAAGAGAGGGGATTTGTGTGGATTCAGAAAAGGAAGGCTCTGGAGTCAACCAGCACTGAACCTGCATCCCAGTTTGGCTCTGGACCTACATCAAGTTCTTCCCTGAACCTATCTCCCAGCCCAGTCCTACACTTGCATCCCAGCTCAGCCCTGGGCCTGCATCCCAGCCCAGCCCTGGACCTGTACCCCAGTTCAATCCTGGACCTGTACCCCAGCTCAGCCCTGGGCCTGCATCCCAGCTCAGCCCTGGGCCTGTACCCCAGCTCAGCCCTGGACCTGCATCCCAGCTCAGCCCTGGGCCTGCACCCAGCTCAGCCCTGGGCCTGCATCCCAGCTCAGCCCTGCAGACCGTGAGTCATATTAACACAGTCCCTAAGCTCTCTGAACTTCCACCTGGTCACTGAGAAGTCAGCAGTGAGAACCGGCAGCAGGCTGCTGTCACTTCTAACTTACTAAGCACATAGTAGGTAACTAATAAACGTTAGTTCTCTTCCTTTCCTCTTCTCAACTGGCGGAGATGTTGACAAAGGGGAAGAAAGGTGGATGATTTCATGCAAAGGTGGGAGAAATCTGCTTCTCTGGGTCTGGCCGTACTTGGTGCTGAAAGTCACGTATGAGCTCTTTATGTATGTCCTCTCAAGTCTAGGCCATGGGTGTGTGTCCTCTGCCCCTGAGAGAACTGCTTCCAACCCCTGGTGGGAGGAAATTCACACGGGTGGGAAGCAGGCACGGAAGAACTTGAGGACCGAGCACACCCAAGGACGTCAACTGCCTCCTGGGGGCAGGTGTGCTGGCCCCACTTACTGGTTCAAGTTTTTGTCTAGTTGACACAAACCAGAGTCACCTGGGAAGGAGGACTCTCAATCACGGAACGGCTTCCGTCAGACTGGCCGGTGGGCATGTCTGTGGGACATTCTCTTGATTAAAGACTGATGTGGGAGGGCCCGGTCCCCGTGTGCCACTATGGGTGGCATCCTCCCTGGGCAGGTGGTCCTGGGTTCTATAAGAAAGCAGGCTGAGCAAGCCATGGAGAGCAAGCCAGTAAACAGTGTTTCTCCAGGCTCTCTGCTTCAGTTCCTGCCTTGAGTGCCCTGACTGCCATCAATGGTGGACTATGATCAGGATGGGTAAGTCAAATAAACCTCTTCCTTCCCAACTTTCTTTTTGGTCAGAGTTTACCACAGCAACAGAAAATATACTAATCGCCCCCCAATCTGTCTTCAGCCTGTAATAACAGTCATGGTGACGCCACGACTTTGAAGGTGGGGTTGGTCCACAGTGATGTACCCCAGCTCTGTCCTGCTACTCAAGGCACCAAGAGTATAACAGAGCAAACAGGTTTTGTGTCTTGGAAGACTAGCTGCCCACTGGGAACTGCAAACATTACAGATTCCCCTCTACTGGCACACTGTGGGGTGTGTGTACGTGTGTGCATGTGTTAGGATGGTACACACAGCCTTCTTCACAACCTGCCTGAGAACACACACACACTGTATGAGGGTGTTGGATGTAGTTTCCCTGACAAGAAAAAAAAAAGGATTAATAATTTAGTAAGTTTCGGAGTCTCCGGGTCCACGGTGAGAGTAGACCATAGGTTTCCATGGAAACTAAGTGTCCTGTGAGAGTTCTGATTGTTCCAGGTGAAATCAAAAGCAAGGCCATGTGCTGCGAGAGTGGTGGAGGCAGGCATGTGGACAGGCCTTGGGTGTCACAGAAAATGCCTGCACTCACCTTTCTAAGAAGCAGAACAAAAACTCCCATCCCCACGTATCAACAAAGGGTATGACTGTTGTAGAATATTATTTTAAGGTGTGTTACTTTTGTTTATGTTGCATTTGTTTAATTTTGTGAAGCTGTGTTACTGTGCCTGTCTAAAACACCTGATGGTCTAATAAAGAGGTGAACGGCCAATAGGGAGGCAGGAGAAAGGATGGGCAGGGCTGGCAGGCAGAGGGGATAAATAGGAAGAGAAATCTGGGAGGAGGAAAAGTAGTAGTTATCCAGAGAAGGAGGAGGACTCCAGGGGCCAGACACCCAGCTCCACACACAGCCAGCCACAAAGTAAGAAACAAAGAAAAATATACAGGAGTAGAGAAAGAAAAAAGCCCAGAAGTAAAAGATAGACGGGATAATTTAAAGTCAAGGGAACCTGGCAAGAAATAAGCCAAGCTAAGGCCGGGCATTTATAAGTAAGAATAAGTCTCCATGTGTGGTTTATTTGGGAACTGGGTGGCAGGTCCCCCAAAAGAGCAGAAACAACCAACAACATGACCATGGGCTGAGAGACAGAAAAGGCTGGAGTGAGAGGTGCTGAACCCAGCTCGATGTTCTCACTCTTGCAGGGAGGCTTCTCCAAGTGCCCAACAACACTGCAGTTCTCCAAGTGCCCAACAACACTGCAGTTCTCCAAGTGCCCAACAACACTGCAGTTCTCCAAGTACCCAACACTGCAGTTCTCCAAGTGCCCAACAACACTGCAGTTCTCCAAGTACCCAACACTGCAGTTCTCCAAGTGCCCAACAACACTGCAGTTCTCCAAGTGCCCAACAACACTGCAGTTCTCCAAGTGCCCAACACTGCAGTGGCTGCTCCTTCAGGGGACCCGGGTGGAGCTTTCCTTCCCTGGCTCTCTAGCCTAGAAAAGCCACACCTAGGTGACTAAGAGCATTAACTGCTACAGAGTCTTTCAATTTCTAGAACATCTGGCCCCTCAGGTAGCTCCAGAAGGGGCAGCCTATCTCCTTAGTCTTTAAAGGCAAAGCACAGCAAAGGCTGTGAGGTGGTTGTGAGCACCCCAGGAAAGCAATGTTAACGTGCTGCAGCTGGGGGCGGGGAGGACAGAGAGAAAGGAAAGAGGGAAAGACAGGGAGAAAGGGGTAAGGACAGAGGGACGGATGTACATGCAGCCTTATCTATAACTGGCCTGAGAACAATACCCACTGGGTGAGGTTGTTGAATGTATTTTCCCTGACAGGAAAAAAAATTAACTAGTAAGTTTCAGATTCTTCATGTCCATGGTGGGAGCACAGACACCCACACACACACACAGAGACACAAGACAAGAGAGAGAGACACACACACACACACACCAGAGAGAGAGACAGAGAGAGAGACAGAGAGAGAGACAGAGAGAGAGACAGAGAGAGAGCGCACAGTGTGCCAGTAGAGGGGACCTGTAATCTTTGCAGTTCCCAATGGGCAGCTAGTCTTCCTAGACACAAAACCTGTTTGCTCTGTAATGTTCTTGGTGCCTTGAGTAGCAGGCTTTTCCTGACAAAGCCCTCCTCAGCACACATATCCTCCCTGCCCATCATCCACTGTACCTCCTCTCCCTGCCAGTGTCCACTGCACCTCCTTACTGCACCTCCTTTCCCTGCCCAGTGTCCACTGCACCTCCTTTCCCTGCCCAGTGTCCACTGCACCTCCTTTCCCTGCCCAGTGTCCACTGCACCTCCTTACTGCACCTTTTCTCCCTGCCAGTGTCCACTGTACCTCCTTTCCCTGCCCAGTGTCCACTGCACCTCCTCTCCCTGCCAGTGTCCACTGCACCTCCTTTCCCTGCCCAGTGTCCACTGCACCTCCTTCCCCTGCCAGTGCCCACTGCACCTTTCCCTGTCCAGTGCCCACTGCACCTCCTTCCCCTGCCCAGTGTCCACTGCACCTCCTTTCCCTGCCCAGTGTCCACTGCACCTCCTTACTGCACCTTTTCTCCCTGCCAGTGTCCACTGTACCTCCTTTCCCTGCCCAGTGTCCACTGCACCTCCTCTCCCTGCCAGTGTCCACTGCACCTCCTTTCCCTGCCCAGTGTCCACTGCACCTCCTTCCCCTGCCAGTGCCCACTGCACCTTTCCCTGTCCAGTGCCCACTGCACCTCCTTCCCCTGCCCAGTGTCCACTGCACCTCCTTTCCCTGTCCAGTGTCCACTGCACCTCCTTCCCCTGCCAGTGTCCACTGCACCTCCTTTCCCTGCCAGTGTCCACTGCACCTCCTTTCCCTGTCCAGTGTCCACTTCACCTCCTTTCCCTGCCCGTTCACATATCTGCTTCTCTAAGACACTCTTTGGGAGACAGCACTTCCCACCTTCCAGCATGCTATCCCTTGAATGACCCTTTTGTTTCCCACGAGTTCTTATCTCCCCCACACTGGCTATCACGTGGTAAGCAGGTCACCTGGGTCCAGGAACACTGACTCTCCATGCATCTCTCATCTCCATACAGAAGGTAGGAGTAGCAACAGTACTTACCTATAAGGCATATGGCATATGGCTGCAGCCTGGCTCGGAGCAAAAGCGATTTATTTTTAAGGAAGTGAATTACTAGGATGTTATGTCCACAACATGCAAATGTTATACACACAATATGTGCATTCTCCTGTGCTCTGCAGGGAAGGGTTGCTTCTCTTTACTTACACAAAGCGGTAGAAGAGAATGGAACGTGGTGGCACAGTGGGGCCCAGCATCGTCGGTACAAAACTCAGGCACGGGAGTGAGGGCAGGGCCTCCACCCTTGTCCCAGATGTACAGGGCAATCTGCTCAAGACAAGACAGTGTTAAAGAGGAGAGGGCTAAGCAACAACCACAAATATAGGAAGGTACATAATGCCCCCAGGAGCAGCAGGATACACCTTCTAGAAAGAACATTAGCTTGAACAATGTCAATTTGCTAATATTCAACAGAAACCACCTCCCAGTTTTTTTAAAAAAAATGGTAATGCCACGTAGATTGATCTGATCAATCAGCAATAAACAGTTAACCATGAATCGTGCAGAAAAAATGAACCATGAAGAAAAAAATCGCAAAGACGACAGGAAGCAGTTTGAGGAAGTGCAGGCTGAGTCGGCACAGAAACCAGTACCAGGAAACGCCACTGCAGTCTGGGGCTCAGAACCACCAGCGGCTGACTTGCTGGAAACACCTGTGGAGGCATGAATGAGAACCGTCCCAGAGGCTCCTCGGTCTGGAGGCTTGCTCCCCAGGGGTGGAGCTGCCTGGGAAGGATTAGAGGGTGTGGCCTGGGGAGCTCCAGGAATCTGCCTGGCCCTGCCTCCCAGCACTGGGATGACAGCTGGGCTGCTGGGCCAGGCTCTTTATGTGAGTGCTAGGGATCTGAACGCAAATCCTCATGCTTACACAGAGCACTTTACCCACTACGCCATCTGCCCAGCCTTTAAAAAAAAATGCATTTTTTTAAAGTTAAGTTGCAGTCAAAAGAGTTTTAAATTTTCTTGCAATAGAGAAACACTCTGAGATAATTGTGGCATGTACCAAAAATATTCATAGAAACGATGATTGACACAGTGAGCAACCAGGAGCCAAGCAGGCACTCACTATCAAGAAAGAATAATAGTATGTTCACAAGCGACCACTATATGGGGCTAGAGAGATGGCTCAGCAGTTACGAGCACTTCCTGCTCTTACAGAGGACCCTGCTTCAGTTCACAGCACCCACACAGTGGCTCAGACCTGCCTGGGGCTCCAGTTCCGGGAGATGTGATGCCCCCTTCTGGCCTCTGTGGGTACTGCACATACATGGTACACATGCCCACACACAGACAAACACTCATACACAAAATAAAAATCAATCTTTAAAAAAGAAAGAGACAGAGAGCACTCTTTAGTGAAACTCCTTTGGTGGCCAGAGCTGCATACACCACACAAATCAGCTCCCAGGTGCAGAAATGCTCCTGGGACAATTTCACCGTCACAGAGTCCGGAAGAGGACAACGTGCTTAAGCACCAAGCCACACAGAGACATTCCCAACGATGTTTTGGCATGCTTTTAAAATTCACCTCCGGGCCCATCTACTCACCTAAAACAGCAAAGAAGCATGAATCATGAGATCCAACCTCCCTCCCACCCCCACTGCTTCTCCACCTACTGCTGGGAAATCATCTCCGTGGCGAGAACACGAGGGTATGGGGGGGGGCACTTTTAGGGGATATTAAAATTAAAAAAAAAACTTTTAGGGAATATAACATTTAAAATACAACTTTCGGCCGGGCGGTGGTGGCGCACGCCTTTAATCCCAGCACTCAGGAGGCAGAGGCAGGCAGATCTCTGTGAGTTCGAGGCCAGCCTGGTCTACAGAGTGAAATCCAGGACAGGCTCCAAAGCTACACAGAGAAACCCTGTCTCAGGAAAAAAAAAACAAAAACAAAAACAAAACCTTTTGCATCAAAACACATGACTATTTTTTCTTCAGGACAGAGCTGGCAGCCATAGTCATGACCTTTCCAGCTGGGATGCGTGTGCAACCACTGAGCTCCACCCCCAACCAAAAGGGTGGGTCCTTGATCATTAAGACTTAGTCAAATCAAGGCATACCTCGTGCTTCAAGTCTATCGTGAAGTCAGACTTCAGGGGCTCGCTCTTTAACCTCTTCGTAAGCCTAGACGATAGAGACATTTGACTTTGTTATTTTAGATTTATGAGACTTTCTAATAGTTGAGAACAGATGAAAATATAAATTTTAAGATAAGAGCATGTGGTTTAGATGAAAATACCAGTTTTCTTTCAGGTCACTTTCTTCTTTGGAAAAAAAAATTCTTCGTGGTTCCTTTCCCACACAGAGTAAAGCCCCACACTCCTGCCTGGCCTGGGGGGCTCTGCGTTCCACCAGCGTCCAGAGTCTTAATCCCCACGTGCTCCCTGGAGCATACCCCTCCGGTCCCATCTAGTCCTCCATATGACTCTTCACATGAGCAACCCTTTCATTTTTAAGACCAAACGTAAGGAACCACCCCTGAAAGACTGGCCCTCGCTACCCATCAGCACAAACGCTGCCATGATCCCTGAGTGTGACGGTAAAGGGGGGAAAAGAGAGTCTTCCTGTTCACATAAGTCAGACCAAGAGCAAGCCAAATTAATTCTCCACGTCTCTCCCTGTGCTTCTGTCGGTCTCTAACAAAGGGCCTTCTCTACACTTATTCAACACTGTAGGGAAAGGAATGGAGAACATCTCGTCTTAATTTTTAAAATTCTTACTTATTTTATTTCTATGATGCTTTCCCTGCAGGTATGCCCATGTACCACTTGCATGCAGTGCCCATGGAGGCCAGAAGGGGGCGCTGAATCCCTTGCACCTGGAATCACGCATGGTTATGAAATGCTTTGTGGGTTCTGAGAACCAAACCAGGGTCCTCTGGAAGAGTAGCCAGTGCTCTTAACTACTGAGCCATCTCTCCAGACCCCTGATCAAATTTTTAACCAGAGTTTACAAGGAAAGAATTTGCTGGCCCAGAATAGAACTCAAAATCACAGTCAGATGTTATCAACCTATATCCGCATGCTGCTTCCAACATTTATGGTGAATAGCTGGTTTCTTTAAGGTCACTTTCAAACTGTTAGCTGTTTTCAGTGGGTGATCAACACAACACACACATACACACACACATACACACACAGGGGGGAAGGGAGAGAGCAAGCTTTAATAATAATAGTTTAATAAATCTTGCCACAGATAGTTGCAATACTAGATGGGCTTAATTATCTTATTTTTTTATTCCTTGCCTGCATCCGGGGAAAGCAACACATAGTCTAAAGGACCAGAGTTTGATTCATTGCTGTGATAGAGTGTACATTTTTTTTTACTTGATTGTTTTGCTGACAGAAGAAGAGGAAGGGAGGGAGGGATGGATGGATGGACAGAGAAAGACCATGGTTATTGACTAAAGCTCTCATGTGTTGGTCACTGTTCAGTGTGGTAAGGAGCAGAGGACACTGAATGCAGAGGTCACCTGGTACGTTTCTCTATCTTGCCAGCATTACAGGGGCATGCTGGGAGCTTTCTGAACTCCAAGTAAAAAAAAAAAAAACAGGCTCTTAACCCAATTCCATCAGCTATAGTTTGCTACAGCTTCTGATGAATACTTGTGTCCTTACATTCCTATGTTGACTACATAAGATTCCTCTTAGGAGGAGGGGCTTTCATCTTTTAGAGGGGGAGGGGGTCGGTAGCCATCATAAAGGCATTTGCAGCCATCCAAAAGCAGTCCAAGGGAGCTGTGCTCTTCAGAGGTCACAGTGAGTTGGTGTTAGCGCTAAACTTAGAGGATCTCAGACCTTGCCAGCTACTGAAACTGTAAATTCCCTCATCTTGAACTTTCCAGCCTCCAAATGTTGTGGAATAATCTTCTTATACACTGTGAAGATGTGTCTTTGCCAAGGCACCTTCTGATTGGTTTAATAAAGAGCTGGATGGCCAGCCAGGCGGTGGTGGCGCACGCCTTTAATCCTAGCACTCGGGAGGCAGAGCCAGGCGGATCTCTGTGAGTTCGAGGCCAGCCTGGACTACCAAGTGAGTTCCAGGAAAGGCGCAAAGCTACACAGAGAAACCCTGTCTCGAAAAACCAAAAAAAAAAAAAAGAGCTGGATGGCCAATAGCTAACCAGGAAGAGGTTAGGTGGGACTTCCGGGCAGAGAGAGAGAGAGAGAGAGAGAGAGAGAGAGAGAGAGAGAGAGAGAGAGAAGAGGAGATGAATCTAGGCACGGGAGAGGTCCTAGAGGACAGGCAGAGCAAACAGGAAATGCAAGATGGAAGAGAGGTAAAGAGCCATGAGGCAAAATGTAGATTAATAGAAATGGGTTATTTAAGTTATAAGAGCTGGTGGGACAAGATTAAACTATAGGCCAAGCTTTCATAATAATAAGTCTCCATGTCATTTTTTGTGAGCTGGTGGCCCAAAGAAAAATCTATCTACATCCAAACTCTCAGGCATGCACCTTTCTTTCTTATAAATGACCTTGTTTGTGGTACTTTGTTATAGCCAGCCAGACTAAGACACCTACACACACAGCCACACAACAAAGCCCTGAGGTCTCTCCTATCTCAGCAGGAGCTCTGCTTACATTGGGCAGCTGTGGAGTCTGGACTGGGACAGAGGACATCTACAAAACTACCAAACCCAAATTCAGGACAGCTGTGAACTCACATGTGCATGCTTCTCTACAGTAGCTCAAAACACTTTCAAGACCCCAAATCCTAGAAATAGGACATGCAAGGAAAAATGAGAGAGACCCTTCCATCTCTGAACAAAGGCCACAGATGTTTTCCAGTCTTCCACCTTCCAAAGAATAATTAATATAAGCTAACAAAAGCCACATTTCTCCTCAGTTGAACTCAGTCACCTTTACTTTGCAGCTACACACACAAACAGCCAGACCTGATTGCCCAGGGTGCCTTCGGGAGCTGGCCAGAGCCTGGCCCTGCTGTATCTGCATAGTCAATCCCTTAATCAGCATCCTCTCCAATCCCTGCCAAGTCACTGTTTACTGTCTTACTGGTCTCAAAGTCACATGGTCGCACAGGAGGTTCCCCGCACAACGGTCACAATTCCTCCGTGTTCTCTGGCCCTTTGGTACCTTCTCTTAGACTCATGACTTATTAGTCACTTCATTCTGCCAGAAACTACTGGGAAGTAGACAGAAGGGGAGTGATGTGTCTGCCTGGCTCCGTAAGGGACCCAGCTGAGGCAAGACCCTCCCGTCCATCACTTTTTCCCACTCCCGCAGAACACCTCTGAAAGACTCATCTGAGAACCTACAAGTCATCAGGAACAAAACTCGGTGACACAAGACACTCCCCGAAACGTCTAAAAAGCTCTTACTTATTTACGAGTGGGACACTAAGGGCCCAGCCAGCAGCAAAGTCGGGATATTTAAAGGCTGTAGGATTCTCGGAGAAGGCGTAATGGTGAATGATGGTCGACTCCTCATCGTGCAACGCTTTTCCTAAAAACCATTCCTGTTCAATGAAAAGATGGCATACCGTTGTTTTTGAAAAGCCATTTCATGTAAGACTGAAAACAAAGTAAAAGCACCAGAACTAGTTAACTAAAATATTAAAGCTAAACTATTTAGTTAACTAAATATCTTGGCAGACAGAGTTATCATAAATTATGTATTTCTGCAGGATCCAAATAAAAATATAATTAACACAAGTATGATAATAAATCTATCACAATCTTTATAGTTAAGATGATGATTCAAGGTCAGGTCACTGGTGTGGAAAAATATTAGCCATCATTATAGTATAAATATAAGATTTTTTTTCAATGTTCAAAAATTGTCTTACTGCCTACATTTTTTCGTGTGCCATAAATATAAGGATATTTTCTTCACTGTAAATGGCCTTATTATTTTGATTGTGTGTGCGTGTGTGCGTGTGTGTGTGTGTGTGCGTGTGTGTGTGCGTGCGTGTGTGTGTGCGTGTGTGTGTGCGTGTGTGTGTGCGTGTGTGTGTGCGTGTGTGTGCGCGTGTGTGTGCGTGTGTGTGTGTGTGCGTGTGTGCGTGTGTGTGCGTGTGTGCACATGTGGAAGTCAGAGGACAACTGTGTGTCCCTGCATTCAAACTTAGACAGTCTTGGCTACAGAGGCCTTTACTCCTGAGCCATTTTGCCAGCCTAAGTGCTATTTTTATAGACTACTCCACATAAGAGTAAAATAAAAGATATATATACATACATACATATATATATTTTTTTATTTTATGTGAACAAGTCTTCTGCCTCTGTGTTTTGTCTATGCACCACATGGCATGCAGTGCCCATAGAGGCCAGAAGAGGGCACCAGATCTCCGGGAACTGGAGTAGAGATGGTTGTGAGCTGCCCAGTGGATGCTGGGATTCAAACGTGGGTCCTCTGCAAGAGCAGACAGTGCTCTTAACCACTGAGCCATCTCTCCAGCCCCAACCACAGAGGTTTTCAATAAATCTCTGAAAACTTCCTTCCAGAGTTCATCCATTCACTCACTCAATATTTATCAAGAACCTACAAGAAGCAGGGATGTGGCTTGTGATACAGAGCGGACAGAAATTAAAGTAAGTGCAATAATTGACGGGGGGGAGGGTGTCCCAGAAAACAGAGGTAAACCTCTTGAGGCAAACATAACATCAAGAAGCCCCCAGTGAAAAGAAGAATCTGAGAAAGAACAGTAAATATAGTTGGGGTGAAGTCCCCAGGGTGGGGGGGCTGAAATCTTCAATGGTAAGAACGCCCGCCGTCCGGCACACAGTAGGTGTGTGGAGCCTGCTAGGAAAGAGGCAGCCAGACCAGGCTGGGCCTCACAGGCTCTAGCAGCCAGAGGAATAATATCTGTGTTCCAAGTGCAGTCAAAACCTTCCACATCCAGCCTGGCTCAGACCGCCACAGCCACCGAGCAAAAGCAAGCCCAGGAGACATGCATGTAGCAAATGACGGAAGGTGTCAGAAAATGATGGCGGCTGGGACAGGAAGATCTGCTCCCAGACCTGGAGGCCCCGTCCTCAGGGTCCCCTCACCCCCTTCTCACTGAGCTTTCACGACTAGACCTGCGATGACAACATTGTTTTATACAAAACATACGTCCTATTTTATCTCCTGATTACAATGCCCAGCTATTATAAAGCACACGCGATAGTCTATTAATGTTTTTATTGAGGTTATAAACTATTTTAAGGAAGGACTCAATGGAGACCATGGAAAGGACCGTACATCTTCCTTCCCAATGAATGGCTTTCTTAGTGGCTTCATGGAAAGAACAATAATAAAAAAGATAAATCTGGAAAGATAGCTGATATTCTACTAGAATTACCCTTAGCCAGCACCATGCCCCACTGCTGTTAAAAATAAATCAAAGTGCCTTATCAGATATACAGATATTAAAACCATACTATGGAGTGGTAAAGACAGGTTCAAACAAGACAGAGGAGATTAACAGAACCAGCTGAGGAGGCACTTCCACTGAGATCAATTACTTCCAATTACTTAACCTTACACATTTAAAACACTGAACAAGAGCCCAAGTTTGCATTTCTAAGAATGACTGGAAGGTAGCAAGGAAAACAGTATCAGAATCAAAATACCCGGTTCCCCGATGCACGCTGCAGTTACTATTTTGATATGGCTTGTTTGTGTTGCTATCGGCTTCTTTTCCTCCTAAGATTTCCAAGAGCAGAGGGAACGAGTCCCACTGGTTTAACCTGACCTCCACATTACGTCATCTACAGTCCGTCACGCTACTTTCAAGAGAGAGAAAACATTCGAGCATTTTCTTCTCTCCGCGCTGCGGAGTTCAAAAGGGAAGGGCAAACCTCTCCCTTGGCCTCCGCTCTGAACTTGCTTCTTGTGAACTCGCTTTGAACTTTTTTCATTTATCACTCCAATTTTCGTTAAAAAGTCACTGTGAGTCACCACCTCCCTGCAGAATTAGAACCACAGGTAACGGGGCAGGAGTCTTGGGGTGACACAAACGCAAGAGACTGGAACCCCAACATTCAACTCTGAAGGAAACAAAAGCCTCACAAACGGTTTGCATTAAACACAGCAGCAATGCCCATGGCTGCGGGATGGCATCATGGGGAAGGACTGGCCAAACCCGCTCCTAACTCTCCCCCCACCTCGCCGCTTGCCCATGCATTTTTATTAGTGGCTTCTCAGAAATCAACACTAGAAAGAAATCATAACGGACCCTTCCAACACTTAAGATCCACCAGACTCGGCGGTTTGCACTGCAGGGGTGAGCTAGGCAGTGTTTGAGAAACCAATCTAATGATGAGTGTTGTCGGGGTTTTCTTTCTGCAGCAGCACACGTGGCCTGCACCCCCAGACATTACCCACACTCCTGTCTGGAGTGAGCCTCGGGGTGGATGGAGCCAGTTCCTACCAATACCAGAAAGAATCCAAGTCTGCTTATCCCAAGTGATCAGGTTGTGAGTTGGGTATGTGGATATCAGACCCAGGATCATAAGATATCAAAATGATCCGTTTGAGAGCTGGAGAGATGGCTCAGTGGTTAAAAGCACTTGTTGCTGTTACAGAGGACCTAGGTTTGGTTCCCAGCACCCACATATCTCACAACCATCTGTAACTCCAGTTCTAGGGGATCCGACGCCCTCTTCTGGTCTTTGTGGGCATTGCCTGCACATGGTGAACACACATACATGCAGGCAACACATCCCTACACATAAGATAAAATAAAACATAAATAAATAAAAAACTACTTCTGTGTGTTATATGTGTGGCCTTTTCTGACAGAGAAAAATGGCTTATTTAATTTTGTTCCTATGGAAAACTGGTTGGTAACTCCAAAAAGGTATTGTTGTTGTTTTTAACTTCCTTATGCTGCCAACACATATAAATATACATTTTTCACATAAAATGGTTCATTTTATGCTCTTTGTCAGCTATAAACCTCAGAGAATTTTACAGCAGAGCTTTCAGAAATCAAGCTTTTATATCAAAGATCTCTTAATCAAAATCACATTTTCTCCGAATTATCGTCCCCCGAGTCAAAACATGGTTTTAAAGTCGTGCGCACCTTAGATGGGTCATATCGCCAGAGTGCTTCTAGGAGTCTGCGGATTTGTATTCTCGTCTCTTCTTCACAGAAGAAGATCCACGCTGAATTCTTGCTATACGTTACAGAAAAGCTGACGGGAAGAATTGGGTTAGGGCAAACGGATTCACAGCACACATACTATATAATGCAGCAGATGAGTTTACAGTAAGATTTGTTTGTTTTTGTTTTTCCTGAGACAGTTTCTCCATGTAGCCCTGGCTGTCCTGGAACTCACTCTGTAGACCAGGCTGGCCTTGAACTCAGAGATCTGCCTGCCTCTGCCTCCTGAATGCTGGGAATAAAGGCATGTGCCACCACTACCCAGCAATATTCCTTTTCTTTCTTTTTCCTTTTTTTTCTTTTTTGGAGTTTATAGTAAGACTTAAACCACTATCTAGGAAATGGGTGAAGGGTAAACAGAAGGAAAAACGTCTAGACTGTTCTCTGTATCTCAGCTTTGTGTCTCAGCTTCGACTGCAAGGAAATCCAGGGACCGGTGGTCTCCAGATGGTAAAGGTGCTTACAATTCATTCTGCCCATAACAGCATCAGTTTAGAAGAACAATTTCAAACTTGAGTTTGAAGCATTCATCAGAAACACATCTAAAAATAAAAACTATGGGGCTGGAGAGATGGCTCAGCAGTTAAGCACACTGGCTGCTCTGGCAGAGGACCTGGGTTTGAGTCCCAGCATCCACATGACTGGTCTCAACCATCTGTAACTCCAGTTCCAGGGGATCCAATGCCCTCTTCTGGCCTCTGTGGGTACTGCATGCAGGTAATACACATACTCACAAGCAGGCAAACACTCATATATATAGTAACTAACCTACATTAAATCATTTTTAAAAGAAAGTAAGCAAAAACTAATTACTATTAAGAGCCAATCATGGGGAAAAATCTAGTTAATACAGTAATTGCAAAATACAAAACTCAAACTTACTCCACTTAGTATCTCAGGAAACATACAACCTCTTAACAATTTGAAAAAGTTACTAAGGTATGCAAGAGTGTGGAGGCCCAAACGCCAATGATTGACAGCATTTGAGTTAAAGGCACCTACTGTGGTAACAAGGGAAGGATGGTCCAAGCACCCTCCTGCTTCGCCAACTGATGGAGAAGGAGCACTCTGGGGAGATCCTGGAAACATAACAAGAAGGAAGAGTAAGAATACAACAATCCCTCAAAAAATTCAAATGACGCTGCTGTCCCCAGAGTCGCCACGCTACCCTTAGCATCACCCTGTCCCTCACTTTGCTTCAGGGTCTACTGCAATGACGTCGTCGTGTCTCAGAGGAGATCAACCCACTTCCCTGCCCCCAGACCCCAAGAGTGCTCACGGGGATAACTGGAGATTTGCAAATGTAATCAGGGAGAGAAGCCAGGGTTGTTTGTCAGGGATAACTGAGGGGCACAAAACAAACCTTTATACACACGGAGGCAAAGCATGCTCTGTGAAACCCTCTGTCTGAACAGAACAATGCAATATCCCATCTACCCCGCATGCCAACTTTGTGCTTAAAATACCCAAAAATCCCTCTAAAGATGTTTTGCACCATAGAAACACCACTCTAAATACTAGACCTACCAACCTTAATGACTCAGGCAATAGGAATGGCTTACTGAAAGGCCCACAGATTGATAAATGCAGAAGGAACTAAGAAAGCCTAAAATAAGGCACCATGGCTACATAAACACACACGGATGCAGACAGTGTAACGACCCCAAGGCTGTGCGCGTTAGCTTGAAACATCACTGCTGCTTGCTGTATTTCAAGTCGTTAGGAAAGCCGGCAGTCCGAACGTCTTCTCTCACATGCTTGAGCCTCTTCCTGCAACACACGCTACTGAGTTTCCTACTGTGGGTCAGCTGTAAAGTGAATTCAGGGCGACCCCAACAAGGAATTTAAGAATGAGTTCCTAGCCGGGCGGTGGTGGCGCACGCCTTTAATCCCAGCACTCGGGAGGCAGAGCCAGGCGGATCTCTGTGAGTTCGAGGCCAGCCTGGTCTCCAAAGCGAGTTCCAGGAAAGGCGCAAAGCTACACAGAGAAACCCTGTCTCGAAAAACCAAAAAAAAAAAAAAAAAAAAGAATGAGTTCCTACCATCGGGAGTGCTATGGGGCAGCTGCAATGACCGCCGCACCACCCACATGCAGCGCTGACCACCACACCACCCACACACGCCACGCTGACCGCGGTACCACCCACACACACCACGCTGACCGCTGCAACACCCACACACGCCGAGCTGACCGCGGCACCACCCACACACGCCACGCTGACCACGGCAACACCCACACACGCCGTGCTGACCGCTGCACCACCCACACACGCCGTGCTGACCGCTGCACCACCCACACACACAGAGCTGACCACCACACCACCCACACATGCACCACCCACACACGCCGCGCTGACTGCTGCACCACCCACACCCTTGATTTTGACGCCCTTGAGATAGGGTGTCAAAATCACTTTGACTCCACACCACTCCTCCAGTACAAACCAATGCATTGTTGGAGAGGAGGTAGCTTTTAATATAAATTGCTGCCGCTGGATATCAAGTTCACCCCACTCCCTTCTTCTGTGTAGTATTTGTTCCAGTGTTCACGCACAAATTTGAAAAACACAGTCAAAAGTCAGATCAGACGAACGATGTGACACGCTCAGAAAAAAAGCAAGCCTAAAGGCTGAATTAACAGTTACCCAAGATAGAACAAAATCAATAATTCAGGGCCTCTCTACTGTAATGTATGCACATATGCATATATATATATATATATATATTCATGGAGGATTACAGAAAAGCAAAAATCATGTATAAACTAATGATATTAGTATTTGCATAATACTGAAATAATTATGTGTGGACGTTCATGTGACCCAGATAAGAAGTACAGCAAATACTGTGAAAATCTTGAGATGGAAAGCAAGTGCTAATGCATCACAAAGTAGCCATTAAAATGATCATAAAAGTTAGCTGGGCAGTGGTGGTGCACGCACGCCTTTAACCCCAACACTCGGGAGGCAGAGGCAGGTGGATCTCTGTGTTCGAGGCCAGCCTGGTCTACAGAGCGAGTTCCAGGACAGCCAGGGCTACACAGAGAAACCCTGTCTCGAAAAACAAAACAAAATAAAATTATGATAAAAGTATTATAACAATGGAAACATCTTTATGTCAAATAGAGAAGCTGGTACGATTCCTATAATAAAGCAGCTTCCCATGTGAGCAAGAACTGAGGGAACCAGGAAGTGACCGTTTGTTTTGTTGTGACAGAATCACGAGCTGCATGTTTCCAAAAGCCTTCAGTAAAGTTACCATATGATCATATATCTTTTTTTGTAAATTGAGACACGTCTCACTTTTCTTTTGCTGTGATAACACCGTGACCAAGGCAACTTATAAAAGAAAATGCTTAATTTGGGCTTACAGTCTCCAATGGACGTGTCTCCTCATGTTCAAACCCCACTCCTGGTACCGGCTTCTGTCTCGGTTGCTCTTCTATTGCTATGATGAGACACTACGACCAAGGCAACTCACAGAAGAAAGTACTTACCTAGGGCTTACAAATTTCAAAGGGTTAGAGTCCACAACAGTCAAGCCTGGGAGCATGATAGGAGGCACGAAGGCCTGACACCTGGGCAGCAGCTAAGAGTTCACATCTGGAGACAAAACCACGGGGCAGGAAAAGCTAACAGGGAAAGGAGTGGGCTTCTGAAACCTCAAAGCCACCCTCAGTGACACACCTCCTCCAACAAGGCCTCCAAATCCTTCCCAAACAGTTCCATCACTCGGACCAAGCATTCAAATATATGTGAGCCTATGGGGGCCGTTCTCATTCCAACCACCACAAGAGGAAGGAACATTCCTCAGATTTCCACTTGCAAATAAGTATTCCACATCCCAGTGGTGGGACGTATGGCGGCCACAGGCTTCCTTGCCAACAGCAACTTTGCTGGCAGAGGCTGATGCCAGCTTCTGAATGACTTCTACCACAATACAAATTCAGCAAGAGCTTAGCCAGCACAAAACAGGAGTCAAACCCTCTTCTGAAACAGATTCTATGGGTTAGCAGTGGACTAAACCCACTCCTGACTTCATTACTTTCAATTCACTAAATTGTCTGACAGGTCTATCTACTTCTATTTGTGACTACAAGAAAGGCCAGGTTTCTGTCTGTTTTGTGGCCCCGTATCTCTTAAGAAGTATTTAATAAACACGTGTCCTGTGAATTACACTCCCTGAATGTGTGCTCAAAAGTGACAAGCAGGTGCCAGCTGCCACACTCAGGAATCTTGACTGATGTGAGAGCAAGCCGAGCTCACCTCAGCTATAAAGACATCTTAGTCTACTCTAGCTAAAAAGCCTGAGCTTATATTCTAGTCACATGCTTCTAAATAATCCAAAGTCACAATAGGGGCTGGTGAGGGGGTTCAGTGGGTAAAGCTGTTTGCTGCTCAAACCCGACAGCCAGAATTCAATCCCCAGAAGCCACATAAAGGTGGAAAAAGAGAACAACTCCACAAAGTGTTCTCTGACTCCGCACACACATGTGTGATGCAACACACACACACACACACACACACACACACACACACACAATGCAGGCACAATTATAATATCTAAAAAGAATTGTTTTAAAAGGCCACAATGAGATTTTCTATCAAATGATTTAATTTATGTTTAATCCATCACTACAAGATTTAGACTGTGTTTAAAGGTGCTATGTTACCAGCTCTATGGCACCTTTAGACACACACAAAACAAATGTTTTTAATGAGCCATTGGAAAGGAGCATTTTTTGGAGTAGAGTGCTTGATCCCTAATATTTGATCCCTGGGTTTGATCCCCTGCACTGAAAAGTAAAATTAGAATTAAAAAAAAAAAAAAAGAGGTGCTGGGGAGATGGCTTCGTGGATAAGAGTGCTCACTGAGCTTGGATTCCGCAGCATACACGTAAAAGCCGAGCATGGCTGTACACGGCTGTGACCCCAACAATGTGGAGAGCAGAGACAGGAGGGCCCCTGGGGTCTGCTGCCTAGCCAGCCTAGCAGAAGAAACAGCAAGCTCCAGGTCAGTGAGAGACCCTGTCACAGGGTAAAGCAGAGAGAGAGAGGGCAGGACACCTCACAACCTCCTCTGGCTTGCACAGGGGTGTGTACCGCTAAACATACGCACAGACACTCACACATGCACATGCACACATATATGCGCACACATATCCATGTACACAGACCCACAAACATGCACACGCACACATGTATGCGCACAAAAAGAAAAGAAAATTCAGAGTTGACAACCACTGGTGGCTTATGCCTGCAATCCTAGCGCATAAGCTGAGGCAGGAGGACTATTGCCAATTCTAGCCCGGCCTGGGCTACACAGTGAGTACCAAACCTGTGAGGACATGAGGAGGAGGAAGAGGAGGGAAAGGGGGGGAGGCAGAAGAGTTTCCAAATAAAAAATCGAGAAGATAAAGAGAATGCTGTGCGTGGTTACTCTGAGGACAGTAGAGGTGCCCACCATCTAATGCGGCCTGGCCCTAGCCAGGCACTGTTTCAAATCTAAAGGGCTATGCAGATGTGTGCAGACAGGTAACCGTAGAACAGAAGCAGCACACAGGGATGAGAGATACAGCTGGTCAAATGTGGGTAAACGCAAGAGTAGGGGACCAAAAAGACTGATCACAGGACTTTTAACCTGTCAATATGATCACCATGTTTGAACCAAAGCCCACTTCTGCCTCATCGCCACCTCCTGGGTGCCATCATCTCTTTGAAGACAGGCCCCCAGGATGATGCCTCAGTACTTCCTTTGAACTCATCTGTTGCAAGACACATGCTCATATTTAAAGCAGACAATGAATACTGAAAGCAAACAAATTTAACTTTTAACGTGTGTGTGTGTGTGTGTGTGTGTGTGTGTGTGTGTGTGTGTGTGTGTGTCTGGCTGCATGTACAGCTCTGTATCTCATGTATGCAGTACCAGCGGAGGCCAGAAGAAGGCTTTGGATCCCTGGGATTGGAGTTACAGATGGGTGTGAGCCACCTTGTGGCTGCTGGGAATCGAACCCAAGTCCGCTGGAAGAATAACCAGTGCTCTTAACAACTGAGCCATCTCTCCAGCCCCAGCAAACAAA